TGAGCTGTTATATGTATTTCACGTAAATAAACGTATAACATTTTTTTTCCTATTCTCTTCTTTCATAAAGCGAACGAACCGTTCCTGATTTGACTCATATACCGTGTTATGGGCGTGTGACTTATATTATTTATTTAAAACTTGTTCTCTCGAAACACACATAGTTGACTCCTACAGTCATCATAAACGCGATGATCAAAAGAACATAAAATAAGTCCACAATGTGAAGACAATTGGTCGAAAATCATTGCTGAAGTCATCAGTTCTCAGAGTAATTAAAGGTATATGTTTTTACCGTCCTTGTCAATGGAAGGAATGATAGAGAGAAAAAAAATTGTATTTTGTATTTTGTATTTTTTATAAATTGTATTTTGGATTATAAAAGTATAAAAAGAACAGGGAAGAAATTACTGCTCAGTTCATAGATGCGTGTCAAAAGTTGAAACAAGTAATAAAAATTACATATCATCTATGTGAATAATTCTTTTTAGTACGATATATTGAACAACGCCAGCGCAGAAGAAAAAAAGATGAAAACTTGATTAACCTTCCATTATAACTTACGGTAGCGTGTTATTCGATTGGGTAGATGACAGAATATGCAAAAATTATAAGCTACGTGATTAACAATAAAAGTCTAAAACTCTAAAAGTCTGAAAAAATAAAAGTCAAAAAAGTAAAAGCTTAAAGGTCTTAAACTGTGTCAAAACGATCAGACTCTTCGACTGATTTACACTCCACCATATACTGAAAAAGAAACAGGAAAAGAGATTGATGGTCATTATGAACTGACAGAAGGCAGCAAAGTCATCGGTGATCCAGACGATTGTTTGTTCACTGCTGCTTTAAGTACAACACCGGGCATGTTCAAATCGGTAACTGGCATCCGAACCCAATGTGTGGCATTCATTCTGAAAAATCCTTATTTTATCACAGGCATTTTGCCGGCTGTTAGTATCATCAATACGACTCGAAACCCAATCCGACGAAAACAACTGATGATGGAAAGTGGCTCACTGTCCAATCAAAATTTTCTAAAGGAAAAATTCGAAACTTTCAAGCATATTATCAAAGATCTGGTCGAGCAAAATATCAAACAAATAACCATGATAACTGGTTGGTTAACATCGGAATCGTCGTACATCGACATTGAAGTGGAAGCCTACATTCACAATCAGTGTTCACAGTTTAGACGTTGTAAAGTTAACATTTTTACTAAGTTGCTGTATCACATGAAAAATTCAACGTGTTCAAAAATTTGTTTTTGTTAAAATATTTGTAAATCAATAAAAATATCGATTTTGCAAAACAGTGGGTGCAATACAAGACCAAATGTATAACAGATGACATAACCAACTTGACACAATTTTGACCCAATACGAGGCATTATGATAATGAAATGTTTCATTATCACTTAATGGTTTTGACCAATTTGTCATCAACATCATTACATAGATTGTACCACAAGCTAAAACCAAATAAACATAAAAGTCATGATTGATGGTGCTATTATTCTCTTGTAATTCGGTATCAATTAAAACCTCTTCGTCATCTGTCTGTACTTCTTCTGTCGCCAATACTTCTGCAGCATTTGTATTTTCTGATACCATTCGAGTATATCGTTTACAATCATTTCTATACAAACAATATAGTATGGTAAGTAAACATAAGACTATCCCAACGATGTAGATCGGATCGCCAACCGGTAAAAATTTAATATTGTTTGGAATCGATAACGAAAATTGATAAATTGTAGCTATACTGATTAATCTTGGTCTACATTGATTTTGAGAATAACTGTTCAATGCTGACCAAAGATTGAACGTAATTAAAAATGATATTATCGATGACTGAAATACATCACTGGCGGGATTATGATTTTTAACACAAGGTAGGATCGAGATAATGGATGAAAATATGCAAAAGACAAGATGAAGTGATATGAACAGAATATTCAATTGACACTGTTCTTTATCTGTATAAAAGATGAATAGTAAAATTATTCCAGATAATGCCAAACAATAAAATAAGATCATACAGACAATATACGCAACAGCATGTTTTTTACTATCTTGATTTTCATATTTATCCAACCAATTACTTCCCCATATATAACCGAAATCAATTGTATATGTTACTTGAATCAGTATAAATAATGGACTAAGTAATAAACCCAAATAATATGTTGGTTGTATCAAAATGTGGAAACGTTTGTAAAAGAATATAAAAGCCACTTCCATTACACTCCATAAGATCGTTCTAACTGATAAAGCACAAATCAGCGGAAACGTTCTTTTTTTAATAAAAAGTGTCAGAACTGAGAGCAGTATGTAATAACTAAAGATTGCAATCAGCGCGCCCGAAACATCAATGTAGTAGATGCTATCAGGAATTTTACAATAGGATCTATTATTAATGTCTAACAGATAATCGTTTACTGTTGTATTACTATTGGTACCATTACATGGCTTAACATTAAGAACAGACGTAGTCATTATTCTTACATATGGAATAGAAATTAATACACTAATAATTAATAAAGGAAGAAGTAATCTATCAGATAGGTCAGCCATTCGAAAAAAAATTGATCGTATTTTACCCATTACTTGCGTATTATATAAAAGATTATCTAAAAGTAGAATAAAAGCATTACGGTTGTTTAAAGCAGTTAACTGAAGAATTTGAAGATTGCTCATTATGAGCGGAAAGTTCCTGCTGTGACTAAAAAACAATGTAATGTAATTTATTGATTTATCATATGATCATCTTCTGTACTGAACGTTGCTAACATGTAGTAAAATTCGCGGTTCAACGTTAGCTTCACTGTAGCTCTGCATAGTACATTTAGAATTTAAACATTTCATATCTCTCAGTAATGTTTATGTTGTCAACAAATCATGATACTGAAGACCTCTGGACGTATCTTTATAGAGAGGGTACAAGCTAAGAAGTACACCGAACAAAATTTCACTTCGGTTGAGTCAAGTGATATACGAGAGACTTTAAAGATAATATTAAAGACTTAATATTTTCTGGACTATTATCTATAAAATAAAATAGTGGCCGCGGTTATTGTTTGAATAATTTTTGCGTGGAAATTGAGGTAGCCCTGCGGTTTGCAGTATTTTATAGTAAAGACCTAACCACATCTAACTATGCTAGAATGAAGTTCAGCACTGAGGTCTACCATAGTGTACCTCATCAATCTTTGAAAGATCACATTATCACGTCTCAATATTCTATAACATCCTATAGCTTTGAAATGTGCTGGATATACACTGATATCTACGCTAGATATCTACGGAAGTCCTACAGCTACATCTCTCATAGTTCAGGTGGGGGGCGGGCTTTCTTGAGGCTTCTATCATCCGGTAATCTTTGACTGAAAAGGTATAGAAACGTAGGTGATCGACTACGCTGAACCTCGCGGCAATGTTTGCTTAAAAACTTTTCTTGATCAATTTCACTTTCTCTGATATTTGTTCTCATTGTTATATACCAGTAAATGCTTTATGATGTCTCTGAATACTAAAACACTACAAAAGAAGAGGAGAAATTCAGCAAATATTGTAAATCTTTTATTGTTCATTATCATTATCTGATTCAACATCATCTTCGATAATCTCTGATCCAAGTACAATCCATGTTAAATCTAACGTTTCAGTGCTTTTTAAAAGGTATTACCAATTACTATTAAGCACTGTGATTAAATCCAATCGAACTAGCATGGGATGATCTTAAAGCATATGTACGTATAAATAAATTTCATTTAGTTTAAAAAGTGTTGGAACGTTAGCTTTAAATGGTGCAGATTTAGCAACAAGTTTTATAAAACATACAGAAAAAAATAAAACTACATTCAAACAAGCTGATCTTGCTGAAGAACTTGGATCAGAGATTATTGAAGATGATGTTGAATCAGATAATGATAATGAACAATAAAAGATTTACAATATTTGCTGAATTTCTCCTCTTCTTTTGTAGTGTTTTAGTATTCAGAGACATCATAAAGCATTTA